AGATAATAGAGTAGAAGATTACAGAACAAGATCACAAAGTGTCAGGATCTCAAAATCAAAGTTTAGAAATTATGGTATAAATCAATCTTGGTGGTGCCAGTGAGTTATTGGCACACTAACTAGCACACAAAAATATATTGGACAGCATTTATGTTGACAGCACTTGATGTTCAGCATATATGCTTTCTGTGTTTAAGATGGTGAAGCTTTTGGAGGTCATAGAGTCTAAAACATCAAGAAACATCAAGAAAGGGCAGATGGCCTTTAATTAGTATAGATTAGTATAATTTGCTAAGGCGGTGTTTCCCCAAAAGAAAAAGTTGGCATAAACAGTTTGAGAATGTAGTTTTGCTCAGAAAGAATCTTTGAATCACATCACTGAACCAGACTAGAGAAGAAGGGTGGGGGTGTGAGCCTTATTTCTATATGTAATCTTCTTTTCATTTCATGCATCAAATTAAATATTCCAAGAAATAATATCAAAACTACCCCATGAGATACATGTCTTTTAGCAAACATAACAAGTTTAATTTAATAAAACCCTCAAAGAATAGCAATTCTATTTATTCAGTGTGAAAAGATCATGAAGGAACATCAATATTTTGACAGTCTTACTGAAGCTGAACGTCACTGCACTTCAGGCTGAGAGAAGAAAAACGAATGTATAATAAATAGTCAATAGAATACATATGATCATATTTTGGCTTTTGTTGCTATTGAGTAAGTAACTAAAAAGCATCTTAGCAGCAACAAGACACTCATGTCTACAAGTCAGCATCCCTGCCGATGGAACTTTTCTCTCATCCAGTCTTTGGTGCATGTTTCATTGTCTGGCTGAAATAACAAACAAGTATAACTGAACTATGGAAAGTACACTTGAAAAGAAATGCAATTGTAGGATGTCTTTCCATTTGTTTGCTTTTATAAGTGATTACCTTATTAAGGCTTCTGCTTCTCAACAGCCCCATGGAGAAACATTTGTCTAGGGGCACTTACAGTTTGCAACTGCAAAATAAAATAAAAATAAAAATCCTGGCCATCAGCATCTTGCACATCATAAAGGATTGTTTGTAAGCAGACAAGAAAATGCTGAGGAGTAAGGTTTTGTCCATTCTGTGATATCTAAGCTGACTGTGAAAACCAATCAATATTGTTGCCTGTTATATTTAGTTTAACGTTATATGCCTACTTTCCTCTCTGAACTGAAAGCATTTCCTCTTCTAGTTTTATCCCCACCACAACCCTATGATATTGGTCAGGCTGTAATATTGTGAATGGAATGAAGTTAAGTGAGCTTTCTTGGCTGAATGTGAACTTCATCATGGATTTGATCTTCCTAAAGTAGTCCAAGACCCATAAATTATTCATAAAAGAAACAATATTGTGATCCTATATACTGTATACAACTTTTTAAAAAGAGAAGTGTTAGTTAAGAGTTGCTGCTGAACTTTGGAAAGTTTGGTTGACTGCAAAAATGAGCTAATCATTCCTACAGAGGAATTATTGAGTCTGTCACCTGCACCTCTATAACTGTCTGGTTTGGTTCTGCAACCCAACAAGACAGACACAGACTTCAGAGGATAATTAGAACTGCAGAAAAAACAATTACTACCAATCTGCCTTCCATTGTGGACCTGTATACTTCACGAGTCAAAAAGAGGGCTGTAAAAATATTCACAGACCCCTCGCAACCTGGACATAAACTGTTTCAACTCCTACCCTCAAAATGACGCTATAGAACACTGCACACCAGAACAACTAGACACAAGAACAGTTTTTTCCTGAACATCATCACTTTACTAAACAAATAATTCCCTCAACACTGTCAAACTAGTTATTAAGTCTGCATTACTATTAATCTTCTCATCATTTCTATCACCCATGTCCTCCCACTTATGACTGTATGACTGTAACCTTGTTGCTGGTATCCTTACGATTTATATTGACTGTTTCCTAATATGATTTGATTGTTTATTTGTTCCCTATGACTGTCATTAAGTGTTGTACATTATGATTCTTGATGAATGTATCTTTTCTTTTATGTATACTGAGAGTATGCACCAAGATAACTTCCTTATGTGTCCAATTACACTTGGGCAATGAAGAATTCTATTCTATTCTATTCTATTCTATTCTATTCTATTCTATTCTATTCTATTCTATTCTATTCTATTCTATTCTATTCTATTCTATTCTATTCTATTCTATTCTATTTGGAATCTAGAGAATGTGACAGATTGGGGGAGTCCATTTTATGGGTGAAGTTTGCTGGGTCCTCCTAGCCAGCCATGCCTAACCTTGACTCATCTTCTGGAGACTGATGGAGGCACAGAATGAGTGAGTTCTGCTGGAGCAGTACTTACAATGCTTTACCAACTTCCAGCAAGATGATTGAGTGGATCTGTTGGTGCTGGCTGTGCCAGCCTCTGAGGACTTCTTTCAGAGCTGCAAGCCTTATACCAGTCTTTAAGAGGATTTACATTATGTCTGGACCACCAATTCCACGTCCAAATTCCACCTCAGATAGAAACCTGGTCTGTGGGGGGGACCTGGTGAGATTGGTCATGCTGGGGGGAATAGTGTCATGGATGGTCCTGAAGTGGGCTCAGTCAACAAGGAAGAGCCTGCTTCAGGAACTTGGGAGCAGAGTGTGGCAGAGCATCTAGAAGGTGAGGGGAATTCTGGATCAGGAGTGGTTGAGCACGTAGAGGTGAAGATATCAGGAACTTCAAAAGGGCCAGAGGAGTGATTGGATGAGCTGCTGGCTGACAATGGAAATTCAGAAATGCAGCAGCAGCCAAGAGGCTTGGAAGGCCAGCCAAAAGAAGAGCATGGAAAAGGGACATAGCTACAACTGATGAGCAGGGATGAGGAGGAACTGCCACCTCCGCCAAGTCTTAGATCACACAGGGCCAAGCGGAGAGAGGTGTAATGGAGGTCAGTGAAGTTACTCATGAGGAGGCGCCTTTTCCCTCCTAATGAGTTGCACTGGTTGGCAGCTATTTATCCCTGCAAGTGGAGCAGAATGATTCTGAGAAAAAGTCTTCCATTTCGAATTGTGTGTTTGTTCAACCACCGTATACCTTGCCTTGGAACTTTGCCTTTGATTCTGTTTCTGGACTTTGGATGTTGCCTTGTGGACCTTGGAATTCATTTTGGTTTGTGGGATTTGTGCTTTGGATTCTGAAAATGTCTTTCTTGGACTTGCTTTGTATTTTTCCTGACCTGGGAAACTGGACTCATTGGATCTTGCTCTGGTTCCTTAGTGGGGAATCCTGGATAATATTATTTGGGGCTGGTGAAGCCTCAATAAAGACTTCAAAACCTTGTGGTGTGTGTATGTGTTAGTGGGACAGGGAGACATATTTAAATTTAGTTTGCATTATAGAACATGTAGTAAGAAAAAGGTATGAAAAAAGAAGATATATTTTAACTTCCATTATTGATCTTTGAATATTGTAATTTTGACCTCTGAATTTTAGTTTGGGTCTCCAGGAAAATGAAGCTTTTTATTTCCCACAATGTCCTCAGCTTAATATTTGGGACATTAAATGAAAAGAATGACTAGACCAAATTATCTAGTATTGTTTAGGGCATATTCATCATTGTCCTAAGAACTGCCAAGCTTTGTCATAGAACCACCATTAAAATCTAGCCATGATTCAGTTCTCTTGGTTGTTATATAATGGAGATATAGGGTATTGGCTAAAAATGTATGAGAATGTTTAGCCAAGGCCAGTGAAAGAATAATTGGTTGGATAAACAATTTTCTTCATATTACTTATTTATAACAGGTCATTGCATATCAGTCTTACTGACTAGATTTTCCTGTTCACTGTGCATGGCAAATAAGACCTGTAACACATTAGCACAGACTTTGCTTCTTTCTCTACCATTTCAATTGTATTTGGTAATATGTAATATGCAAATGTAGGATATGTAAATATCCTATTTGGTAATATATAATATGTAAACCTTTTTTACAACTAGGCTTTTAGGCTTTGTTACTAACATAGTTTCTGGGGTGAGGGTGGGTGCTAGGGAAGTGGATATTTGTATTAATAAGCAAAGGAAGAACAATCTCTTAATCAGCTGAGGCAAAAATTAGAAGGGGTAAATTTAATGTTATCCGATATTAACTTCATCAATCCTAAAGGAAAGTATCTTGTTTTTGGGTCATTGATTGCACCACCAAACTGTCACTGAAGTAAACAATTCTTTAGCTTAAACAAGTTTGAACACTTTATCTGTTATATACCTATTTATGCTTTTCTGTGCCAAGGAGCTGCTTCACAACAATGGTTGTCACTACAATGTTGCTGAAACATTTCTTAAATCCCTATCTTCCAATCTCATTCTGAAGGTCCAGAGCCATCTGCAAGGTTTTGTCCTTCTGAATAACACCATTAGGTATTTGTTCAGATTTCTGGTACCAACCTTGGTATTTGCTAAGATATTCCTCAGCCTGAGTTGTTTCCTCATGACTGATTAGAAATGCAGTTTATTTACATACAGATACAAAATACACGTGTGCAAAATTCTCTCAGTAACATATAAATTTGTTAATGCAGTTAATAGTTGAACTTCTCCAAAATATCTTCAGGAGGCTGCTGCTTCCATTTACTTGGCAAAGAATCCTGGTTATTCGTTGTATGTCTAAAGAGAAGTGCAGTTAAAATGTTGTATCTGGTTTGTTCAGGTTCCTGGCTTAGGCATGAACATTGCATTAAATATCCTTGAGCAAATAATTATTACTATTATTTTTGCAACCTAACACATTTTACTGGATTCTGTAAGACTACAGAATAATCTTGATGAAGATGGTAATTTTAGGAGGTTCTCTTTTTGACATGAAATATGAGTTGTGAGTTGTGAGACCTATTTGGGATACATCCTGGCAAATTACTAATAATCACATCCTAATAACTTTGCAAATTTTTTACCAACAGAGCAATTCAGTTCAATATTGCATTGTAGAAATCATACACAGTGCACACTGCTTAATGTTAAAATAAATATATATATTTTTAAATAGCTGGACAAAAATGAAGCCAAAGTAGACAACATTTGATATTTTTTTCTGAATTTGTGGGTATTAATATATTGCTGTACATGCAGAGAGAAACTGAGATATTGACAGTGGAATCCTTATTTGAGTCAAACATCTTTAAAATATATTTATGACAGACAATATATATTTATATATAATATACATTAATAAATAATAGCTATAACTATTACCCTGTTTAAATAGAAGACTTAGAATTATATACTGACACATTTTACTGGATCAAATCAGCACAAGTGTAGACAGGTAATTGATCATGTTTCTTCCTATGACTTAAAATATTTTAAATGTTAATGATCACTCTATGAAATTAAATAACTAAAATCCAACTGTTAGAAGTATTAATATATTTCAAGTTTACATTCACTTCAGTCTCTCATAACATTCATAACATGGGAATGACCAGTTTTGTCGCTAATGAAACAAAGTAATTTTTTAAAAGCTTACTTAGAATTACTTCCCTAAGCATGGGAGTTATGTAACAGGAGTTACAACAGGATGATTTTATCTACTTCTGTTACTATTGTTAAGCAAGCAAAGCCTTGGAACTTCAAGTTTGTGCAAATTGTATTGCTGCGAGCAGGTACAATGAACTCATTCTGGAGTTTCATGGTAAGTAAAATGAGCAAATGGCAGCTTAATTTCGTCTCTGATGCTATTTTGTTCTGAAGAAATCTTCTAATGGAGTATTTTACTGCTTCGTGCTGCAGTCCTGGATCAAAAATAGCTTTTCATTTTTGCTAGAATTATATTTTAACAGCCACATCAGAATCATGACAAATTTCCTTTAATAAATATAGAAATAATGCTAATGAATAAGTTTAAGGACATGATCCAATCTTATTATGAGTACAAGTCTAACACAGAATAAGTTCATAGCTTTAATAGAATTTTGTTTTCTCCCTCCATTTTTCTATTAAACCTCTGAGTTTTCATGCTTGGGTGAATTGAGAGCATGTACATACTTGATATAGAATGATGGTCAGCTACCAGTACAAGTTACAGACTTTTCCATCATATGAAAAAATAACCCAGTGTTTAACATTACTTTGTTTCTGTGACCCTGACTCTTTGTATTGTTTCAATGATCATAGATATGGTATAAGGATCATAAAGATTGCAGATTTCTTTTTTAATGGAAAATTCTGCTTGGACATTTTGACAAGATCTTTCTCCTAAAAATATGTAGTGCAATAATAGATGCTGATAAAATATATTAAGTGAGAAGTGTGAATAATATGCTGAACCATCTCCTTTAGAAGATCAATAAGGACATTTACAACATTGAATATACACTTCCTATACACAAATTTGGTTTATCCTATTCTACAATGCAGAATTGTGTTATGAATTCATAATATGTTCTTCTTTCTTATCTTGAAATCTGAAAATATTTAGAATGTGATCAATGTTAGCTGAGTCATAAAACTTAAATATGAAATATAGATCTGCTGTTGACTATGAAGTCCTACCTGGGTTCCGCAAGATGCAAAATATAAATATTTAAAAGCAACATGTATATACAGTATCACTATTTCCTAGAAATATGTATTTGTAGAAATTAATATTAGAAGTTGTAACAATATAGCTTGAAGAATACCCTTCAGGAAATTTCTAGAAACATATTTCATTAACTAGATACAGTCAGGAATAACCCACGTTACACTGAAAACACTGGATTTTTTAAAAATCCAAAATAAAATTTATTTTAAAAAGGCATGACAATATGCTGTATACCAAACATATAATTAGCTTTGGCAAAGGAAAATAGAAATAGAGAAATTTTACATTTCTCCCTCTGTAATCAATGACAGATTACTTGAACTGATTTAAGTGAGGAGAGAAATACAATAAGAGATTCATGCATCTTTTCCTTTGTAAAATCAGGTCATGCTCCTATTGTATTTGGTAAATTTCATTTCTTGTCCTACCATTTTCCCATGTCTAGCAGTACAGGAGTGGAAGTAATACAATTAACTAGCTTCACTAGTTAAATACATAACCAAGATGTTGAAATGCCAATCTATGGCTTGCAGCAATCCATGGCTTGTATCAATCTCTGGTTTATAATTTGTTTAATTTGGTAGGCTTGGAAATAAGGCTATATTTTTCTAAACCAACAGAACATATGGTGAGGATGTTTGTTGGAGGCAGTTTGCCAATAATGATTCAGTTCATAAACCGAAATGAAATTACAGGTTTTTTAAAAAAATAAATATAAATAGAGCCAATTAAATTTATTATCTTATATATGTATTAGGTTAGTATTAAAGAAAATTTGCACATAGACTGCAAATTAACCTTTTAAAAACTGGTGAAAAGTGTAAATATTCAAAATCTTATTGATTTTTTTTCTTTTAGCAGCAATTTAAATTGTAATCCACAATTTTATAAATTTTAATCAAAATATGTACTTGGTTAATTTACTATCTCTTTCCTCCCTCAAGTTTAAAATGCCTTTTAATAGACAATAGGGTATTTCTACATATACAATTTTAGGCTTAAATTGTCTTCTTACAAGCATTGAAATTTGAGGTGTGTGACAGAGAAAATGGATTTGGTTTCCTTTAAGGTTTTTTTTAAAAACACATGCACTGCCTATTTCATTATGATGTTAATTCTACTGGAGCTGATAGGCTGTCTTTTTCTCTAATGCTGTGGTTCAGCAATGCTCCTGTAATGGTAGCAGCCATTTTCTATCTAGACTCCACCTGGAAAATACTTCACTGAACTAATGAATTGTGAAAAAGTAATGGGGAAATGGCAGCAGTTTAGGGAAATAATGGAGTTCATGAATCTCCTCCAATTTTATGACTCCCTGAAAATTATAATTCTTTTGATGATTTAGTCATTTGTGAATACCATAAACTGGGTGTGTAATCCTTAGTAGTTCTCACTTTCAAGAATACAAGCCATCTTTCCAGCTTTTCCTCTCAGATTGAATTCTCAATTCAAATTTTTGCTGTAATTTTTTTTTTTTTACTGCTGAGAGGAGAATATTACACATTAAAATATTTAATTAACTTTTGATGGAGTATCTAGTGTATAATTCACAGTTCAATAAAAATTATATTCTGACCAAAACTAATTTTTTACTACAAATCAAAGAATTGTTACCACACTGGTAGCGATCTATAAGAGAGGCAAAAATAATGCAGAGAGAATGATTTGAGACATCCAGTGAATGGAAAGAAGTCACTAGTTGTGGGAAAGCAGCAGAGGGAATAAATATAATCAGCCAATGAAAAAAATCTTTGGGGTGCACTGGATCTCAGTATTGTGACAGCATTTCTCTGTTTCCCTCTCCTCTTGAGAAGAAAGGAAATGTTATTCAGGAAAATATTCCCTAATATCTGAGCACATGTGTAGCATGTAGCTTTATGGATGAGACTTTAGTGTGGAACACAATTTAAAAGTAACAATTCATTCTTTTTTCTATTGTTTCTGAGAATAAAAAACAAACAGTGTCAGCAACCATGCAGGTTTTTATTTTTTTTGCACTGATTGGTCATTCTAGATCAGAGGTGTGGAACTATGGCCCTTTTATAGGGCCATAGTCATAAAAGGGCCATAGTTTCCCATCCCTGTTCTAGATACTGATGGATAGAGGATGTAATCTTGCTTCCCAAAAGGCTAATTGTTCCATCATATATTTAAGGGAATGCATCAAATGTTGAAACACATTTTCCTGCTATTTTCCTGTAATAAATTTCAAAAGGGAGCATAAATCCTCTTGCATATATACAAAAGCCTTGCTCAGAGGACCATATATCACATTTATCCAAATTTAAACTGCTCTGGAGAAACATGGATATAATTAGGTGAATGCACGCATGATAGCAATTTACCAAGGCTTATATTGACACTGACTACAAAAGGTGATATGAGAAGCACACATATACATACACTGTATCCACACTGTTAGATGTTATACAAAGCTATGATTTGAATGCAAGGTCAACGTAGTCTAATCAAGCAGTTAGCTATCTAGCAATGTTCCACAAAGAAAAAAAAGAAGCAGAAAATCCAGATAATTAAACTGCCTGCCAAGGAATATCATTTCAGATGACAAAAGGGATATCAACAGTTGGAATAGTATTATACATAAAATAAACTCTGCACATTTAAAGCTACCATGCTTGGAAGGCATTAACCAGCTAGCTGCTTTTTTTTTAATGACTATTTTAAAGATAGAAAATGCTGAAGAAAGAGAGATGCTAAAACTTTTATTCTCTTCCCAGATCATTTTGAGCACCGTTTAGGAATTCTGAATATTTAAAAAACCCTCAAGGGCGCTCTAGATATAACTACTTGAAAACCAGGGTGGCTACATCATGGTTGTTATTTTTTACAAGCTTTATAAAAGAGTAACTGCTGAGAGAAAAACCTTAATTTTCATGAAAGAAAAGAATATTATTAGTAGAATATTTCAATTTACTAATTGTAAGGGGCTGAATCTATAGTTTAAGAGATATAAAATATACATGGTTATTAAATCTATTAATTTTAGGAGCACGATTTATTGCTGGAGATCATAGAATCTGTTAAGTTCCTCTTCTTTACTGAATACCTTGCTACCATACAGGACATACTAGCTGATATTGAATATTTGTTTTCCCTTCTACTTCTGAAGGCAAGGGAGCAATCCCTGTTTTTTCCAATCTTGACAAATTTTTTATGTTGATAAAAAAAAAAATCAACATAATGTTTCCTATTAAACTTGTGACACAAATTAATTATATATTTCAAGAGTTTCTCTATTTGAGAAAATTCCATCCTAACTATAAACTTGGACAGCAGCTGATGGTCTCATTTTTTCCAATGACATCACTAAAATAGCAGTGCTATATATTGCCCTTTGTGTAATTACATTTTATTTAAAGTGTTAGGATCTTAACACAACATTTGGTTTCTTATTTCTAAAAAAATTCAAGAAAAATTCACTACTAAATGTTTACACTTCAGTGGTGCAGTTTTGGGAATGCTGCTGACATTGAGCTGATTGAGCAGCTCAATCTTGCTCCAAGATGTGCAAAATAAAAGCTGTCAAGTTAGCAGATGGGGGAGAACTGGGAAAATGGGGATTCTGAATTTGCAAATTATTTCTACCTGTGCAAATTAGTGATATAAATTTTAAAGAAACCAATGTTTTTTTTTCTCTGGATGTTGAATTTTCTCTCTTATTGACATTCAAATACTGTGGTGGAATGAGATATACTATAATTCTACCCAACATGTTTTTGATAATACTGTGTAAGAGTTTAATCCAAATTGTTCCTCTTTCAAGACACAAACTAAAAGAGTAGGTAGTGGGGGTTTTTTTTTTTTTGTCTCCATCCATTTCTTCCCAAGCTACTTTTAATTTCCCATGGCAGCATATCCTGTTGCACTATGGGTGAGGCAAAAGCAGTATTTCTCTTCATCTGGGCTGTTGTCATTTCTCCTCTGCAGTGGATACCTCTGGACTTGAATCCATATCGCTGAAGGCCTCTTTATTTGTAAAAGTAGAGCTCAGATTCAAACTGTGTCGAGGGTTCACTGGTGCCAGTTCATTTAAAACAATATTGTCACTTTTCACAAGAGTAGCCTTGTCCATGTTCTCTTTACTGTACTTTGCAACAACAGCATCAAGGAAGTCTAGTTTGGGTGGTAAAGTGCCACTTTCAAATAAGTATTTTGCTAGATAGGATACTGCAATATTTGTAAAGAAAGAAGTAAGCATAGCTAATGTCTTAAAAGGAAATCTCTGAATGTATATGCCATCATCATCAAGATACCAACCAGGATACAAAATCAAAGGCGGTAAGGATAGATAAGCTTCTCCTCCAGTAATTCGAAGTAGGAGCCCAAATAAGTATCCTACAATGGCACCGTAAGTATTTGTTCCTTTGATAAAAAGAACACATAAAAGTTGGGGGAAGATGATGATGTAAACCAGATCAGAGCTGAGGTACCAGAGACCATATATGGATTGAGCTAGCAGAGCCATCGCTGTTGCTGCAGCTCCAAACATAAAAATGGTAATTCGCATGACCCAAACTATTTCGTTGTCTGAAGCCTGTAAAATATAGGAACAGTTTGATTTTGCTTTCTACTACAAGTTTTTATATACTACATAGGTATCAACAGAATTATATGAATTCAAAATGATAAAAAATGCTGTTAATTAGAATACTTATGGCTCATAAACTATTTGACATCTATAACATGACCAGCAATTAAAGAATCTTAGGCATATAAGATATATCTAACATGAACAAGGATTTAATATACTGGATCATGATAATATCCTTCCCTTCACAATTCTGTTCTGTTCTGGCAACCAATTCTGGTATAAAAGGAATTTTTCCTGAAAGATAGGAAAATATCATTACAGTATTATGGTTGGTTACAAAGTCATCTGGACTGTGATTAGAATGGATTTGACATTTTTTATCTGTCTAGCAAGTCCTTCCCAAGGACCTAGGATAGGTAGATATTGTGTGAATTATTATTATTAGTAGTAAGTAGTAACAGTAATATATCCTGGAATTATATATATATAAAACTCAAGATAGCAAACTATTCTCTGTTTGTACAACCTGGAAGGAGAATATTATATGTAACTTTTTCATCCTGTAAACTGTTGGGAAAATTATCTATGCTATTTCTGATTGTGAATGTGGCCAGCAGAAGAAAATCCAAATTACTGGAAACTCCTTTGAATACATGTAGGAGAATTGTTTTCAGCTGCATTCAGGTCAAAAAGGCACTTTAAAAATTTTGTTTTAAATGCTGTATCTTCATAAATGGTAACATTGCATTTAGTGCAAGTTATCCAGCTGTGGAAAAGTTTTCACTTTGCAATTCTTTCCTTGGTCATAAAGCCAAAATCCTGTAAATTGTAATTCCAATATTATTCCTTCTATTTAAGGAATTATTCACCTGGCTTGTTTCACTTTATTCATAGTTGTCTCCGCATTTACTCAAAATTAAATAAAGTAGGTTTCTAGGCAAAGGCCGCTTATTTGGAGCATATATTACCTATCTCACAATTTTCGATGTGAAATGTACAATGAGAGTTCATTGAAAAGATTTGCCTGTATAAATCATTAACTCAATTTTAAGAGATAAGATTGCAGCTCATCTTCAGTATAAGGTATAGAATTGATTTTCCTCTTTTAAACTTTGAAGATTAAAAACTATGGAAGACTTTTGCTTCTAGAACATCCAAAAGTTTGAGAACATCAGAAGCAAGTGAGCATAATTCCTTCACTTCTCAATGATTGTCATAGATTGAACACAAATGGTTCAAGGTACTCTTTCCTTCCTATATACATGAAAGTATCAACTGCCAACTACAGCTCTTATAACATTACAAAATGATACTGTGTTTATAATATAGTCTTACAGTTTGCCGAAATGAAAGCTGGTATATATTCCGTGCAAACATAGAACTTGCTGATAAAATGGAAGAGTCAGCAGAGGACATTACAGCAGCAGACACTGCTCCAAGGCCGAAGAACGAAATGTACACTGGACAAAGATATTGAAGGACAATTGGTAATATCATGTCGCTTTTATCTTCAGATTTAGGGTCCTGACCAGTATATTCAGTCTGATTCCAAGCTGTAACATAAACATATACTAATTACAGTACTAGTGGATAGACCTGTACCTGAAATCAATAATTAGAATATTTATGCTCATAAACAATCTGACATCTATAACATGACCAGCAATTAAAGAACCTTAAACATATAAGGTGTATCTAACAGGAACGTTTATTTAATGTACTGGATCATGATAATGCCCTTCCCTTTACAATTCTGGTATCTGTTCTGGGATCCAATTCTAAAAAAAAAGGTTTTTTAAAAAAAAGCTGGATTTAATTGCTGGATTCTGTGGTCTATGCCAATATTCACAATCATGTGTTACAAAATATGCCTTTACTAGTTTTAAATTTGTGTTACAAAATATGCCTTCACTAGTTTTAAATTTATGGTTTAGATCAGCGGTCACCAACTGGTGGTCTGTGGACCACTGGTGGCCATGAGAAAATTTTGGTGGTCCCCAGAAAAATTATTTGCATTTTTTATATTGCACTAAATCAGGGGTCCTCAAACTATGGCCCCTGGGCCAGATACGTGCAATGAATGTTTGTGTTGCTGCATAGAGTTTCCCCCTTCGGAGTCTTTTTGTGTGGGTCAGAGGGGGCAGAAATTCCAACTTGGGGTCTGCTTCAGCCTCCTGGTGCAGGGCTTTGGGTGAAGGCTGGAGGGAAGCACCACTGCTGGTGAAGAGCCGGAGGACCTTTTTCCAGGGGAACTGCATCATGGCCTGGACCTGGCTGACTATCTCAGCCCTCTGAGCCGCCAGGTGCCAGTACCTGGTCTTGCACTCCCAAAGGTCTTCCCTCTATTTGGAAAACCTATGCTCGTAGTCCTCAGTGAGGTGCTTCTGCTAAGCCTTCCCGGTCAGATCCAATTTGAACTGAGCCAGCTGTTTTGCCAACTCTTTCTCATGGTAGCTGCTTAGTTCCAGCAACTGCTTCCTGTTGGGGCTCTAAAGAGCCTGGGCGGGCAGGCAAGGAGTAGCGAGTAGAGGCTGGCAAGGGGCCCCTCGATGTGAGTGACATTGAGTTGGCCATGCCCACCAAGTCACATGACCACCTTGCCATGCACACCCAGCCAGTCATTAGGCAGATCATATTAGTGGTCCATGGGATTTAAAATTATGAATTTAGTGGTCCCTGAGGTCCGAAAGGTTGGTGACCCCTGGTTTAGATGCCAAATTTGGCTAGTATTATGCCAAATTTGCAGTTGTGAAATCTAGTAGACTTTAAAAGGCTTCAGGCTAAGCATTTAATTCATGGTTCATAAAGATCAACTATACATCATGGGTACAATTAAAATTTAAATAGAACAGTTGCCCAAATGGCCTTTCCAAACTGAATTCTATTCTTCTATGAAAATGTTAGGATAGTATATTTGTTTTAATGCTATTGGGAACGACACCATAATTATAAAAATAGTACTGATATATTACAAACATTGTAAGGTTGCTACAGCTTTGAGATAACACATGTCTACTCTGGATATTCATTTATTGCTAGATATTCACTTTCAAAATGTGTAGAGGCTCATTTCTTGAGTCCTCAGAACCATTAATTTGTTACTAAAATAAATGGTTGATGTACCTGTTGATGCACCAATGGCACCAATAAGCACTGAGGGTATTGCCATTACAAGACATCCAAATGCTGCCAGAAAAGAGAGCATTTGTGCATACGTAGCTGATGAAGAAGAAAGGACTCGCTGGAAATAGGCTTGCCATGGGATTCCTCCTAACATCTACAAATAATCATAAACATCATTGCAGCATTTATTCCTGGCAAATAGACACTCACATGAATCCAAACAACATGCTCCTTTATCAAACCTATTTGCCTAGCAGCCAATCCTACACCTTCAGCAGTAAAATAATGCTTTAAACCTTGCAGAAATTTTCTTCCTGACCAAAGTATGGAAAGACACTTAAGCTGACCCAGAAAGAAGGTTGTCCCTTTAAGCTAGATTTTCCCTCCAAACCCCATTATTTTTTGGGTTACATTTCAAGAAAGCAGCAAGAGAGAAGAATTTTTCATGATTCCTTCATTCTTGGCTTGTCTCTAATTCAGTGCTTCTAAACTTCAGCAACTTTAAGATGTGTGGACTTCTAGTCCCAGAATTCTGGGAATTGAAGTTGAGACATCTTAAAGTTGTCAAGGTTGAAAACACTCTCTAGTTCCCTTTCTTCTGGACAGAAAATAGTTCCAGAAAGAGATCTCCAGTGACAGGACTGGCAAATCTCAAAAAATAACTGTGTAGAAGCTGTTGTGTTAAGCTGTTTATCCACATAGAAGCTGGTTTGGCTTTAGATATTTACTGGTTTATAAACCAATTGCTGATGCATCATTTTTCTGTTAATTTTGCACAAGGCATTCAGACATGTTACAGAATTTGTATTGGGAATTTTATATATTAAACCAATTTCATACGGTTCCCTCACACATTTCTATTCTGCTCTGTAACCCAGAAATATAACTTCCTACTTCAAGATTTTAAGTGTTTTTTTCTAAATAAATTTATCCAATCTTTCAAATATGTATCTATCTAACCACTCTTCTGTTGCAGATCTACTGAATCCCATCATATTCACTATTAGAAGAGTATTAGAACCTCACTATTAGAGAGAGGTCTTCTGCTTTTTCACAATGTCATATAACTATAATTACATATCTTCAGCATACAGTTAAATTTAAAAGGTTATTTGTGCAGTTGTTCAAAGTTATTTTGCTAGGGCACATAATAGTATAATTCAATCATTTTGGATTACAACCAACACAATTCCTTGTTAGTTAGAGCTGATAGGAACAGATCTCCAAAACATCTGGAGGGATCTAGGTTGCCTCTCCCAGCATTAGACAATTTGTAGTTTAAGAGTTTGGAAAATAAACCTTAAGTGGTTTGTGGTCTTTCACAAAAATCTCACCAGTAAGAAGAAATCGTCAATCCATTTGTATATGTCAGGGGATTTAATGGTTCCAAGCCAAGGTTTTTGATATACTTCATGCACAGCTGTGTACCCAATGCTTGTCACTGCAGGATGGGAAATGGCAAATGGGATGCTGATCCACTGTGAAAAAAATTGAAGCAGACAGTAAAAGAATGGCATAAACATTTCTGCTTTTATCTTCTTCATTCGTCATTTTTTAGTTGCAAAACATTTTTGCAGGCAAGGAAATATTGAAATGGTTTTATTTACATTTCTTCTTATCTTTTTACCAAACTTAACAGAGAAGACTGTTATATGATCATTCAAAGATTAATATATGCCAATTAAAAATGCATGGAAAGAAACATATCTAGCGAAAATAAACACTTTGTACCCATTGGCTGTAACTTTCTTCTTCACACAAATGAGATCATATCTTATCCTTTTTTTTTTTTTTAAAGGTCTTTGAGATTGAAAGACAACAAGCATGGAACTAAAGTGATCTTCTTTGGCAGGAAGTTTCAAAATTGGTAGCAGAAGGTCCTCTCTCTGATTCTACTATGTGTGTCTTTGACAGTGAGAGAACAGAACCTAAAACCAAAACAATCCTTTTCTGTTTAACTGGCTTTCCTTTAATTACTTGAGAGAAATTGTAGGCATCTGAAATTATTTTCCTGAAAACATATTGCTCATATTATTTTCTTGTGAAAGAAAGGATAATTTCCTCCTGATTGAGAAAGGACGTATCAGGTAAGACCAACGTCCATTCTATTTCCTATTTTGAATTCACATTCTACTTCTAGAATGAATTGGATCAGAGAATGAAAATGTTCTAGGATGTTCTTTTGTTTTAGGAACAAAAGATATGAAACTTTAGCCTCTTACTTAACAAGGGAACACACAATACTAGGAATACAGAACAAAGTCAATGGCCCCATCTTGGTTCTTGGGACTGGGAATTCCTGGCTGTGTTTATTTGGTAATAAGCATCAGTGAACACAGCTCAACCTACTTAAGCAGAGGACTGAGCTCCAGTTTTATAACAGTATTCAATTCTGTATGTGTGTGTGTGTATGTAGGTATGTTGGAACTGTAGAATGAAAAGGAAGCAGTATGTGAGGAGAACAGAGGCATCTGTACACATTTGCTCTCTTGCACATACTCCTGATACAAAGTCTCCATTGCATTGCACTTATTGATGTGACTGGGCAAGTCTTTTTAAGAATACAATAAGTAAATGTTTGCAACTATACATCTTTGTCAAGTCTTTGGTGCTCTCTGAGCTTGGTTGTTTGCTTGAAGGTGTTTATCACCCAACTAGATAACATCATCAGTGCTAGTGGGGTTTGTTCCCTATTTATATACAGCTTGCACTACCATTGTTGGTGGGGTGTGGTTTTTTCCTTGGCAGTTTCTTGATTAGAGTTGTTTGGGGTTTTTTCTTGATTGTTTGCCTGGTGTTAATCCCTGCTTATTGGGTACAGACTGCTATAGAGGATCCTTCTTTTTTTAATTGTCTTTTTTAATAGAATGTAAATGTGATTTATCTTTGTGTGTGTACTGATTTATCTCTGTGTGTCTCTTGATGACTGATTTGTCTGAATGACAAACTCCCACAAATTCCCTAGTGTTTTTGAATTTAGATTGGTTTAGGATGCTCATAGTTTCCCAGTTGAAACTATGCTTGAAACTATGGTTGAGCCTATCCATGTATTGTGAAATTAATGAATTTTCATTGTGTCTTCTGCTTGCTATTTGGTGTTCATGGATGTGCTCTGCCAGTCTTCTGTCTGTCTGTCCTACATAATGGCTGTTACAGTCCTTACACTTTATGTTGTAGATGAATCCTGTTTCTTTTGTTCTTGGACTACTGGACCTTTGGTTTACTTAAGATGTTTTGGGGTTTTTTTGTTAGTTTGTGTACTACCATAATGCCACCTGGTTGGAATAGTTTGTTGTTTCTGAGATGTTTTTTGAAGTACGGTTTTTAATGTATCCTTTTTATAGCTTGTGTTGTGTGCTATAGTGTAGGAGTGTTCAGGCACTTTTTAATAAAGTTGTTGCATAGGTATCTATTTTGTTGGAACATATTTTATAGTAATGAAACAACTGAAAGCAAGCAACGAAGCTCAGAGAACATCAAGTTCTCCACAGTTCATTCCTGAACTAAATATATTCTTTTCTACTGGATCCAAGAATCCTTGTCAGTATATAATGGCAACATGCAACATTAGTGCTGTTGCACATAGATGCTAACTGGATGTTGACTATCTGATTTTATTATTGAAAGGCTTTCTTAAACATGTGATCAGTCACGCTTAAATCTGATCCATAAGGCAACAGATAACCATAAAGTTAAGATCAGATACTGTATTTAAAGTCAAAGGCAAGTCTTTTCTAGCATAGGGAAGAGAAATTGAGAGAGGAAAGGGATAAACAAAAGAAAATGGAAGATATAAAGAAATAGAATGTGTCAATTCCCCCAACATTGGGAAAATGATTGTTGCTGCCTGGGGTGGGGTGGGGTGTTTATTGGGGTTTATATTTGGGGTTTTGCTTCTGTAAGTCACCTGGAGTCATTGCGACTGAGTTGGGTGGCCATACAAAACTTCTTAATAAATAAATAATAAATAAAACCCATACTCTATAAAAGTTTATTTTCTGGGAGAGGTTTATTCTCTGATAGGGATCTCTGCCTTTTTTGTGCAAAAGTAGGTAGAGAACAATATTTCTTTGCATATATTTTCTATAAACAAAGGCAAACAAAGATTTCCTCCATCACAGTGCTGTCTTGTGTGGAAAGAAGATACCATCTGTTGCCTCTGTGTGCACAAAGAGAGGCAGTACTGAGGGTATGTTTTACTGGAGTAAGCAGAGTTTAACTGAGGGGCTAGGATTTTGCTTTCAGTTTTTCCTACTGACATAATCTGGATACAATGGAGTGGAAGGGAGATAATTCTGGTCTTGAGCTAAATGAAAGCATTCTCTTCCTATATCAGATGTGTGCACAATGGAGGTAAGAACAGAGGGAAAAGCAATAGCAAGGTTTGGAAAGCAGAACTGTAGATATCACATGCCTGTTATGCACCCTCTAAGTAAAGATGGTGCCCTCAGAAAAGATTATGTGGCCAGAAGTGAAGGATTTAACTCAACTGATAGCCCAATCAGATTCTGTTCTTGTATCCTGGATAAATATTCAGAGGCACTGGCAAATCAAGAACCATTCTTATATCATCATCTTTCCTGGCCATTTATCACATCTTATTCTCTTGGGTACAAATCAACTTCTCTCATTATCTACAATCTTGCAATTCATCAGCAACTTTTAAATTGATTTCAATCTATGTTCATATTTGATTCTTATTTAATATAAATCACAGTTATGGTTGGTGCTGATTTATTCTAAAACAATAGTTAAGACAAGAGTAATATAGACTCTTAATATTCCATTTCTTCCACACATTAATCAGCATGATCTTGTAATCTATACTGACATGAAGCATCTACTTCCTGTGCTTGATGTAAAATACAATCACCTTGGTGTTACATATGGAAAAGTAAATACAAAACTCACAAGTCCTAAGAAAATGCAGAACAGCTGGACCACATCAGTGTAAGCTACTGAATAAAGTCCTCCCACTAAGGTATACAGGGTTGCAATGGAGGCAGAAATAATAACTGAAATGGTGTTGTTGATGTCAATTATCACACTTATGGTGGCACCTGTAACAAGGCAGAGAAATAGATTAAATGTCTGCTAACAATTTGTGTACTTTTCAAAGCATTTCACTGTGACTGAGAAGGTCATTTTTGTACCTTTTTGTCTCTGCTTCTAAAACAAGATTTTAGTTTCATGAGGAAAAAAAAGAAAAGGATTGACAATACTTGCAGAAGACACATGTAGTCTGATGTGTATACTATCTTCTCAAGGATCTAATGAAGCTCATAACTTTCTAAATTAAATGTCAGTGAAAAGATCTCCAAATTGGGGGGGAGGGAGAGAGAGAGAGAGAGAAGTGCTCAGCATAGTAAGATATGAGAAGAGATACCAGCATAAGAAAGAAAACATGCAGTGACTCTAAAAAAAGAAATAGGAAAAAAAAATAGGAAGTGTTGAATGAAATTCTGTAGCAACAAACTGGAAGAATATAATTGTTATGCTGGTAGATTCTGTTTACACTGAAATATATTACTCTAGCCATTGTTTCTAAACCAAAAGTTACATATGAGAATTGTAGGGTTTGCTCAGCACATTGGAAGTGAACATGTGGTATCCAGGATACACTCCTGATAATGTTACTTAACCATTCAAATGATCCTGTTAATATTCAAAGTTTCATGGACAAAAAGCATAGTGCTTATGCTAGAATGTGTTGCTGTCCTTGGTCCTGACTCAATGTGTTTATAAGTGGCAATCATTCCTCAGCATTTAAAGCAGCAAAATCCTAGTTCTTAATTATAAGTTTGTTTTTTTTTGTGAGTATAACAAGCTTTTACAATATTTGCTTCCACAATGTGAAATACAACAGAAAGCTTTCATGCACAGTAACTTGTATTAAAAGAGAACTTGCATATTAAATTCTCTGAAAATTGTTTAAGCCACTCAGTTTCCATCACCTCAGCATGCAGTTTATTCTTGGTTTCTTGAGCACTTGCAACAAAATTATAGTTTAAAACCTTCCTGTTGCTTTCCAGATAATCAAAACACAGCTGGAAGTAAAGCTGATTATTTTATTTATTTTAAAACATGTCACTGGCAACCTACTCTATATACATAGTTATTGGTTATTAGGTGACAAAAGTTGCAAAGGACAGTTCAGAGATTTATCAGAAGGATTCCCTCCCCACTTACATGATTTATTATATAAATTTTGTATATTGCCCCAATTCAAGCTGTACAACAGGAAAATAAAGACCAATTATTATATTTAATTGAGTTGATAAAGTGAGTTTGCAATGAGGGCACAGGAACCTGTGGTAGTAATCCCAGTAGTGGTGGGAATAGTAGATTGGTATTGGAAATTATTAAGTTATTATTAGGAAAGAGATATTAGAACTTTAAGGGCTATTTTGTCTTCTGATAGCCGTGTCAGCTTTTAGAAAGTTTCCAGCCCTCCAAAGAACCAGATTTTCCTTCTATGAAATACAGTTCAAAATAAAACAAATTATCCATCATGGATGAGGTGGCTTAAGAAGGCAGGTAAGCTGTTAAGGGTTTAGTTTCTTCCTGCAGCATCCCACTAGAGGGGAAGAGGGAAGGGACATGAAGCAATTGTCATCATAAAAACTTACCTTCCTTACCCAGATGTTTCAGAAAGGTGACGAATATTAAGTGTGTGTACCTCAGACTTTTGGCAATCTGGATATCACCTTGCAAACCATTAACCTTGATGATATTTAATAACTTCTCTTGCATTGTTAGAATATATCAGCTTCAGTTTGTGATATTTTGTATTGTCAGTTGTAACCGGAAGGATATTACAGATGCCTTAATTATGATAAATGGCTCCCTGAAGGAGGGAAGCTTGTTTCTGTGTTTAAAGGATGCAATTCTTAATCCTCTTTTGAGAAGCCCATTCCAGATACCCTGGAGATAAGGAATTATAGGCCATATTTAACTCTTCTTATTTAAGATGATTATTTAAGATGATTGAGACAATGGTGGCAGCTTCTTACCTGCAGGCAATACTGGAGGAAAGATTTTCTTGACCCATTTCAGGTTGACCTATGGGGTTGAGATGGGCTTAAGTTGGCTTGAAGAATGATGTTTGTTTGGAGACTGACAGAGGATGCATGATTTTCTCGATACTCCTGGACTTCCTTAGTGGCTTTCAGTACTAATGTACATGGTAACTATGGGACGGATTTCTCATGCTGATCCCAATAAAAAGGAATAATGGCTACTAAAATAAAGAACAGGTACAGATTGCCTCACTTTTTACAGAAAAGGCAAGTCTTATCCCTTTTATAAAAGCTGTATAAAAAATTCTTGAAGAAAAAGGGCAAGAGTTTCACTTCCATAGGCTGTTGATATATATCTGTTTTGTTTGAAAGTCATCACTAGAATTCTTGTGCTATGACCTTAATCTACTGCCTAATAAATATAGTTAATCAGAGTTCTTAGATTCTTGTGCTATGAATTAACTGATTTCAGCCTAGATTATTAGGAGAGGAATTTGAAGGAATTCTTCTAGATCACTAGAGAAATTTGGGGACAGAAGGCATGGTTGTACAGGTTTTCCATTTCTATCTTTCAGTTATATTTCAGATTATATCATTTGTAGATATTTGATCCTTGAAACAAGAACTATTATATAAATTTGCTCAGGACTCCACTGTGTCTTCTGTGTTTTTTCAATGCCTACTTGAAAACGTTGGGGAAGATTATCTGATTTTTTTTGCTGGGTAGCATCAGTATGCTGATGTATTGAAAACCCAAATGAATTTCTCTGTGACATTTTAGAAAATTGTATACTTTCCTTCAATGTCTGCCTGAAGTCAGTAATGAACTGGAAGAGGGATAATACACTGCAATAAAATACAGACAGATTGGAGGTGCTCATTGTGAGTGGCCAGACTTCCAAAGTCATGGTAAATGTGTATATTCAGAATGGGATTATACCAGTGGTGAAATCGAATTTTTTTTACTACTGGTTCTGTGGGCGTGGCTTGGGCATGGTATGGCTTGGTGGGAGTGGCTTGGTGGGTGTGGCAGGGGAACGATACTTCAAAATCTCCATTCCCACCCCACTCCAGGGAAAGGATATTGCAAAATCTCCATTCCCACCCCATTCTGGGGCCAGCCAGAGGTGGTATTTGCCGGTTCTCCGAACTGCTCAAAATTTCCGCTACTGGTTCTCCAGAATCTGTCAGAACCTGCTGGATTTCACCTTTGGATTATACTCTCCTAAAAAGAGCACATCATAGTTTAAAGGCAAGCTTCTGGAGCAAACCTTTCTTGATCTTCACAGATTGAGGAAATAGCCTGGAGTGCCTTTTATCAGCTTTTGTTGATATGCCAGCTGAGTCCATTTCTGAAAGATAATGGCCTTAAAAATGTGGTCTTTTTATTACATGGGGCAGCTTTTCAGAAAGAGGTTTATACAGTTCCTTTAAAAATTCTTTAGGAAGCAACTCGGGATTGAGCCTTTGCATATTTTTGGATTGTATTTCCTGTAGAATGGAGGGGCCTTACATCTTTATTAGCTATTTAAAAATCCTTTAAAGCATTTTTTTCCTTGTAAGCTTTTAATAATATAAATACTCAGTAATATCAGTCATTAATGTCACTTGCTTGCTCAAGTGGCATTTTAAGCACTTTTAGCTTCTCAATTTTACATTTATTTTAAATTGAAAAATTGGCATTGGTAGTCAGCAGTATAACATGTTAAATAAGTAAGTAAATAAATATCAAGCAAAAGAATCTGTCAGCTGGGGATTTCAAATTGCTCACTCTAGGTAGGAAGTGGCTTTCTTTAGACTTAGAGTTTCATATTGGGGCTTGCCTTTAAAGCCATACATAGCCATTTTAGAGACTTCCTGTCTTATGAAGAACTTAATTGATGGGCATTAATATTTTTAGATAGGTCTGGAAGTTGAGTCATGGCTAATGGACTTAAGTCCAGTTGCCATGACTCGACAGACAACTCTACCTGGATAACTGAAAATCTTCATCAACATCTTTAAATAGGTTTTTCTGAAAATGATATTGCAATCAGGAACTTATTTATCTAGCATATGAATAAAGTACTTCTCTATATGACTTTTGGATGGTGGAATGTCTTCCCTTGAAGTTTTGTTCATTCCAGCTCCCTTTGGTTTCAGAAGAACACTTTAAAGACATAACATGCACCTTACCAGGCTGTAGGTCATAAATTAAAATTTATATTGGTTTTAATAAATATTCAAAGGCATATATTATTATTAGTTGCCAACCTGAGTGAAAAAATAAAGTGATATTGTCACTATTATTATATCAGGGTAGTAGATGAACCATTCTGCTATGAAAGAGTTTTGTAATACCCATATTTATCTCTAAATTGATTGTATTTTGTACTGTATTTATTTTTTTGACTTTTATTGTGTTTTATTTTTACTGGTATAATTCACCCAGAGTCATAAATTGATTTTATACAATTTAAATAGATAAATAAGTAAAATTATTCAATTTTATGTCTTCAGTGGGGCTCAGGCTAGTTATTCACTAGGTACACATTTAAATGGATATACAAGTTTGCAGTAATAAAATTTCAGCATGCACAATCCCGTATGTTGCAACTAAATAGCATATATACTGTGTGTATGATATATGCACAAGTAGAATATATAGACTTCCAGATATTAAGGTATTAGCTACATAGGCCAAATGTTTTAAATGTTTAAAAATACATTTTGAATTGTGCTATCCCCATTCAAAATCTCTCTAAATCCAATTGTACAGCTAAATCCTTATGATTACTCTCCTCAAATATTACTATAAAAAAGAGAACACCTGGCTTTTCTACACAGTATTTTACTATCAGTATTCTGATTAGTACTCCCAAACTGTAGTTATCTTTTAAATTTGGGAAGGCTTGTTCAATTTTTAAACATTTGTTTAAAAGAACATGTATATCAATTTGCATATTTCATCCTTATTCAGACCTACTGTATTTTATACAATTGATTTGTTTACAGAATTCCTTACCTAGTGCAGAAAAGATGGCTGCTGCCCAGAACATTTCTCCCATCAAGGCAGGTATGAAGATAAGCCCTCCCATCCGTTTTCCATAAATTTGCTGAAATGGATCCAACATTGTTACATACCCTTTGGAACGCATGGGCTTTGCAAAAAACATGCCACCTGAAAGTTTCATTAAAAAAAAATAGGATTCTAATTATTTTTCTGGATCAAGTAGCCAGTCATAAAAATGGAGGATGTTTGGTTTAATATATGTAATATCAATTTACTTATGAGAGACATAACTGATATGTAAATAATTTTCCATAATATAACATAACAATCTAATATAACAATCCAATAAGTCTTCTCAATTATTGTTGAAGTGACTATATAGTAATGGAATTGAGGTTCTTATACTTGTTACTATTACTGATTGATAGTGCAATGACTAGTGGAATATTATAATCAGCATTAGGTCTTTCAGTAAAAGAATAGAAATTATCACTTGGACACAGACTTAATGTGGTCAACTACTTTAGTTAGTTTTATGTAGAGCAGTTATCCCAACTGTAGTGAAAAGTAATTTGTTACAAAACTGGGTTGGGTATATTAAAGCAAAGGTTTTATTCCCATTTGCTTAAATGCTTTAATTTGTACTCCTGCCCTGAACAGGAAGTTGGAGAATGGCCTAAACTATCCCAAGCTTTTGATTCTATGATTCAGAAAAATCAACAGGACTTAATTTCCTTCACTTTTCACTTGTTTAGTTTAATCTAAAACTGACGAATTCTTGATGCCACTCAATATGGAGAGGAAAATAAGGGAAGGATCTTCCTCTAAGTTTCCCATACATTTTTTAAAAACTGGCCACAACAAAACCACTAAACACCAGGCTTTGACAAGAATTTTGTACTTAATATAAGGTGACCAGACGTCCCGCTTTTGGCGGGACAGTCCCGCTTTTGAGCAATTTGTTCCGCGTCCCGCGGCGTTTTAAAAAAGTCCCGATTTTTCATTCTGCTCCTGACTCCCGGCTGCCTCCTGAATCCCCGCTGATGGCTAGAGGGAAAAAAAAGTCTTTAAACTCTTGCTGCAGGGCTTCAAAGGGCCGACCTACAGCTGATCAGTGTTAAAAAAAAATGAATAGACCCATGTCTGCAAAAATAGAAAAAACAGCCCCTGTTAACAGCTTCCGCTAGGTTAATTAGCTGCAAAAAGCTGCAAAAAGTTCCTGGAGCAGATTTCCCCCCCCCTAGCTATACTGAAAACAAAGGCGAAAGCGAAACTAAACCTGCAAGGTGACAAAATGAGGCAGAGAGAGATTTCTTTCTTTTTCTTTTTCTTTTTCCTCACCAAAAAAGGTAGGTACAAAACTGCAAACAATGGGAAATTTTGGGCAAAAGAGGAGAGTTCAAGATTTTAAAACACAAAAGAAAAAAAGCTCTATTTAACTAGGGAATTGTAATAATTGAGATACTATTAATAATTGTATATTGTGTTGAAAGCAGAAATGGTTAAGTTGTGGTTTGGAGGAATATATGGGGGAAATTATTTGGTTTATTATTATTGGTAAATATAATTAATTGATTTGTAAGAAATTGGATTGCATGGAAATAATTGGAATATTCATGTTCATATTGATTAATATACAAAAAAGATAGTTATATAACTAATTGATTTATATTAAAATGTTGAATTTGTATTAAACAACTGTATTACATAATTACATAATTAACCAATGTGAGGATGGATATAAAAATAGATGACAATGGGAAGGGGTATAATATAGAATAGAAGGGAAAAATTGAATTTGATTAAGATTAGAGATGAGGATGAAGGGTAATATTGTTTTTTAAAAAAAATAGATGAGGAATAAATATGGCAAAAAGGAAATATAGAAATTGTAAATTTAATTGAAATGACTAAACGCTGTTTAAATTTGTGAACCAGCCAAATATTCTGTTCAAAGAAAATACATTGTATGTTTGTATGTGTGTTTCTAATTATTGCTATTTATTCATATTTGTTCTCTTTTATTCTTTAAAGTTTAACAATTCATTCTTAATCTTAATATCTTTATATTTGCTTGGGGTTGGCTTTCTTCCCTTTCATCTTTTTTATTGTACAGCAATCTTTCTCCTCAAACCTACCACCACTCTCTTTTCTTTCCTTCTTACTTTCTCTTCCCCCCACCCTCTTTTTCTCCTCCCTACTTCCTCTTCCTTTCTCCTTCTCCTCCTCTCTTCCTCCCTCTCTTACCCTCACTCCTACTCTAATTTCCATTCCTTCATCCCTCTCTATTGCTGTATCCTTTAATGCATATGGACTACTCAGAGGGCTGAAAAAGTTATTTTTGACTGGTCCTCACACTTTTGACCAGTCCTTGAACTTATGACTGTCCTCACATTTTACATTTTTGCCCTATCTTGTCACCATGTTGAAGAGAAGCAGTTGTGAAATGAGTGACATGGTTGTTAAGAATGCTGCATGGGCATAAATGTGAGGATGGTCATAAGTGTGAGGACCAGTCAAAATGCGAGGACCTGTCAGAAATGACTTTTTTCAGCCCTCTGGTTAATCCTTTTGTGCATATGGACTACTCAGAGGGCTGAAAAAGTTATTTTAACTGGTCCTCACACTTTTGACCAGTCCTCGAACTTACGACTGTCCTCACATTTTACATTTTTGCCCTATCTTGTCACCATGGTGAAGAGAAGCAGTTGTGAAATGAGTGACATGGTTGTTAAGAATACTGCACGGGCATAAATGTGAGGATGGTCATAAGTGTGAGGACCAGTCAAAAGTGTGAGGACCTGTCAGAAATGACTTTTCAGCCCTCTGAGTAGTCCCTATACACATAGCCATGGCCACCCGGTCACATGACCAGCTAGCCACGCCCACCCAGTCACATGGCCTCCAAGCCACACCCACACAATAAGTCACGCCCACAATGGTGTCCTTCTTACCATTGTTAAAATCTGTTCACCTTACCCTATACACATAGCCATGGCCACCCGGTCACATGACCAGCTAGCCACGCCCACCCAGTCACATGACCAGATAGCCATGCCCACCCAGTCACATGACCAGATAGCCACGCCCACAAAATAAGCCACGCCCACAATGTCCCTCTTTACCAATGTTAAAATCTGGTCACCTTAACTTAATACCTTGTTACAAGGTAGGTGAACATAGTTCTGAAGATACCATCTCTATTGCTGGCTCCACCCATCCTCCCGAAATTGATTTACAATGAAAGAGAAACACAGGAACAGATATTCATAGTACATTGACTTCAACTTTATCTTTGTCATTTTAACAAGATATGTTTCTTCTGCTTTGTTTCCATCTTTAGCTTACCTACAATTAGGCTAAGCGAATACCCAATGGGTGCCTGAGCCCAGGCAAGTCCATAGTCTGGAAGATACACTGCTTCAGCTGTTCCATTTATATAACCGCCTCCAACCCAGGTGGCTGTGGAAGAAATGAACGACATCCATTACACAATGGATGGAGAAAGCAAAACTAAATAATTGACAGCAAAAGTAATATAATGAAGAATATTGCACAAAATCACATCTCATCTAAAGATCTATTTGCATCCACATAATTTGCAAATTTACATTATAGACTAAACATTAGTAGGTTTAGTCTATTTAAATAAGTAATGGGAAAGAGAAAGAAATAAAAGTAAAATTTAACGGGCATATATACAGTACATACCTCTAAATATTAGCCTAAATGTTCTTGTTACTTTGTCTTTGGTTAGACTCTTTTTTAATTTCTTAGGCTCTGTATTTCTACAAAAGTCTCATCTTCATTCATAGAAGAAATGGCAGTGAAGTACTGTTAAGTAGCTCTTTTCTGAGTACCTAGTTAACTGATTCTCAGTAGCATCACTATCATACTGAGCACTTTAGCGCAGCTCACAAAGATATGTATTATTAGTCAGGCTGGGAGAATGTTCAGATATTAAGTGAAATTCTGCATTATAATGGCAATGATTATGTCTCCTACAGGTTGCCTTTTAAAAATATTTTAAGAATAGAATAGAATTCTTTATTGGCCAAGTGTGATTGGACACACAAGGAATTTGTCTTGGTGCATATGCTCTCAGTGTACATAAAAGAAAAGATACATTCATCAAGAATCATAAGGTACAACACTTAATGATCCACATAGGGAACAAATAAGCAAAAGAACTAAGAAATACATCCACACTAATTCATAAATAATGGCCATCATTGGCCCTGTGATCTTCTGAAGAGCCATTCAAGATTATCAATAGTATAAAGTTGTTGAATAATAGGATCTCCTATTCTTGGACTGAAATTGTTGGTTGGACACAAGAAGAATGCAGACTGGTATTATCATATAGTAATGAGCCATCTCTGGTTTCCAAAAGGAGTACAGGTAATCCTCAATTTACGACCAAAATTGAGCCCAAACTTTTTGCTGCTAAGTGAAAAATTTGTTAAGTGAGTTTTGCCTCACTTTATGATTTTTCCTGCTATAGTTGTTAAGTGAATCACTACATTGGTTAAGTTAGTAACATGGTTGTTAAGTGAATCTGGCTTCCCCATTGACTTAAAACAGTCATAAGTCACTTTTTTTCAATGCTACTGTAACTTTGAAAGTCACTAAATTAACTGTTGTACTGTAAGTCGAGGACTACTGTATAGATATTCCAGGTGAAACCTCTGTACAGGTAGTCCTCAACTTGCAACAGTTCACTTAGTGACTGTTCAAAGTTACAACGGCACTGAAAAAAGTGACTTATGACCAATTTTCACACGTATGACTGTTGCAGCATCCCCATTATCACATGATTTACATTCGGATGCTTGGCAACTCGTTCATATTTATGATGGTTGCAGTGTCCCAGGGTCATGTGATCCCTTTTTGTGACCTTTTGACAAACAAAGTCAATGGGGAAACCAGACTCACTTAACAATGGTGTTACTAATTTAACAACTGCAATTACTTAACAAATGGGGCAAGAAAAGTTGTAAAATGGGACAAACTCACTTAACAAATGTTTCAATTTTGGGCTCAATTGTGGACTACCTTTATTTCTATGGGCAACAACCAGTTTGGCATTCTCTGACTGTCTTCCTTCTTCATTTCTGTCTCTATATATGGTATTCCACTTAATAACTCCCTTCAGTTGGAAGTACGGTTTTGAGCAAACTGACGCAGTGTAATTCATAAGGCTGCATTAGCCTTTTCTTGATGATCCCTGGAAGAGCTGACCTCCAATTGTACCAAAGGTTATTCCACACAGAAACTCAAATTAAAGTCTGATTAAATTCCCTTAATCTGGTCCAGGTCATTCTTTCTATGTCCAAATTTGCTAGCTGATACAAGTGACATATTTTTCAGAACAGGCTGCTTTAATGTTTAATAAATATACCCCAATAAGCCAAATAAGAATGGTACTAGATTGGGGGATTTTTAACAGTCTAATATAGGTTTAAAAAGAAGAAAAAACCCTCCCCATTTGGATAGCAAGCAATAAATTTCAATAAAATCTCAATAAAATAAATGAAAATAGTACAAAATGTACTATTTACTGGAATGGCTTCCTAGGATCATAGTGGAGGTTAATCTATTGTCCAAATATAAAACATTGCCTAATGCCTATGCCTAACGATAATACACCCCTATACAGATAAAAGGGGATATTATAATGCACTGTAACAGAAGTGAAAAAAAAATTATATAGATATTATTCTGATATTACTTCTTACCAAAGGAATAGGATATTGTAAAATCAATGACATATAATCAGTCTGCAAATCATTAATACTTTACTTCTAGTCAAAGATGAGGATATAAATACTAACAATAATAATAATTTATATCCCTCCTTTTTTTCTGGAAGCTTTCCAGCCAGATAGTGGAAGCAAAGCATGTTAAGAAGCTATGACTATTGAATGAGGACAAAGTCCTATTGTTTATTCTGCTTGTGTTGATTCCACATAATATAGTGGAAAGAACATGTAACTGAATGGCTCTGAAAAGCCAATGAAAGCTAACAGAATTTTAACTGCATGATGGCTATGCAGATATTACAATTGGATATGGCTATGCAGACAATTGATATAACAATTGGATATAACCATGGATATAAGGTCTGGCACATTCAGGTAGCATTGCTGGCTTTTGTAGCAAACCTTAACATTATCCATACTGCGGTCCTGCTCTAGCCAAAGTAGCACTTTCAACACACAAACTAAGAATAATATAGGAAACAAAAAACCTATAGAGATTGTCCTCAGATTATGACCATTTATTCAGCGACCATTCAAAGTTATGACAGTGCTGTACAAATGCTATTTACACCCAGTCTCCTAAGTTATGGCCATTGCAGTGCCCATGAAATCTTGTGATCAAAATACAGGTGTTTGGAAGCTTACCCACACTTACAATCAAAGGGTTGCTTCAGCTCTCTCCACCTCTCTATTCCTCCCCAATCTCTGGTCCTTTGCTGCCCGGCACAGTAGCACCCCATCAGCAGTCTTAGCGCCATTACCATAGAATGCTGCTTGAAGTCCTGTGGGGCTGTTAGGGCCAGTAAGCACAGGCCAGCAAGGCCAGCAAAGGTGACAGAATGTGAGGTAACAGAAAGGACAGAGTTATTGGGGAGGGGAAGATAGTTGGATTTTTTAAACTTCCGTGATGAAAGCATCGTTGTTGCCTGGAGGACGCCCAGTTGGGGGCTCCTTTTGTGTCCCAGTGAAGTTGTCCACCGAACTAGTACCCATTAATCTGCTTGTGGTCACTGCTTTAGAATTGCTGGGTCATGTGCTGGAGCATGTGATGGGAGCTCACCCTGCCCTGTGGCAGCAGTGGATCTTGAACGCAAGCTGCTGATCGTCAGCCCGGCATTCTAACCTCAGGAACCACCACACTCCAGATAGGTGGATGAGGACAATTGAAGAAGAGGCAGTCCCTTGTCTTTTCAAGGCTCAAGGCTGGCAAGGACCAATCCAGAAGTGTTTTGGATTGGGGAAGGCCCTTGTCTAATGATTGGTCATATTTAGTTAATGATAGCAATGTGCACTGCTGGATTTCCATTGCTAAGGGATATGGTCAAATGTGGGTTTCTGATCACATTGATTACCTGTAGTGCGATTATAATTTAGCACACTCAGTTGGAACTTCATGGGTAGGATAGGAAAATATTATGTAGGAAAATGAAATAGAAAAATCCTGCAAAAGAACATAATTGACATCACTGAAGAAAAAAATTCTATACTCCAACCCGTGTTTAGTTCCTATTGGTATAGATTCCTTTAAAAAAGAACATCAAACAGAGCATTTTCACATCACTGTTCACCTAAACTAATAGAACTACTTCTTTTTCTAAATATTTTTTTAAGTTTTATTTTCTTTTTCTAAATATTATTATTCAAATATTTTTGTGGAATCTATTCTCTTTCAATAAATTGCAGATGACTTATTTATTATGTTTTCAAATTCTCCATTACCAACATTTTCTAGGCAAAGAAGAAATAGTGAAATCCAAGATATCAACACCATAAAAAGAAGACCTCATTTAAAATAAAAATAAATAACAATTAAATAGCACCTCATGTAGCAATAAAAAGTTATTTTATTCATTCATGTCCTTGTTTTACATTTGTCACCCAAATCTTATGCTCCATTCCTTTACAACTCAATACACTACAGGATATTTATATTAGGGAGAGTCTGTTTTCTATTCAGTGCTATTATAATTGTTTCATTCACACATTGTTATATCTCATATAATTATTTCAGTCATACGTACATACATTAACAAACAGTGTATGTCATATTAGCGCCCATCATTTGGACCTTGATGGATGGAATATTTTTCATAAACATATGGTAGAAAAGGTAGCAAAATGTCTTTTTCCACCCTTTTGGAACTAGTTTTAGTTGTGATGAGCAGAGAGTTTTGATTTTAGTTTCAGTAAATTATTACCAGTTCTTTTTTTTATAAAAAATTGAATGTTGTTTTGAAATAACATGAATAACATATGTAACAGTAGAACTAAAGGGGAAAACAAGGAAAACAAGGAAAAATTAAGGGAAAAATTAAATTTATCAGTTATATTAAGTGTATTGCTTAATATAGATTACAGATTTAATTGTCCTAATTTCAGGACAATTAGAGAACAGCTACTTAAAGCAAAGCTGAAGGCACAGAGTAAAACCAGATGTGTAATTTTTGTATAAATATAATTCCATAATATTAGAATGAAATCAAATATTAACATACATACATTCACACATACACAGCTATAAAATAGGGAAATAGAAATACGGTGTCGCTTATTTTATTTTCATTTTATTGCTCAATGTTTCTAAATTGGTCTCTAATTTCTTGTTAACTGTGTCTTTTGTGAACTAATACATTCATTTAAAAAAAATCTTATTTTTACCACTAATTGGTTGAAGAATTTATTTTTCTTTTATAAATATTAATGTAGATAATCTTAGACAGTTGCAGTCTTCTGAGCAAAACAGACTGCAAAGTTCTGATTGTTCTCAGGACTAGTATTCAGTTTATTGAGAAAGTTAAATGCAATGTTATCATTTAAATGGTTATTTTACATATTTTAATATTTGCAAGTCAAGAATCATTGTGGAATTACAGTTGATGGCAATAAATACTTATGGGACTGATAATCTACTAAATAATTTTCCTTAGTCCATATGGCTTCAGAACCCAGCACTGTAAAGTGTTGGCAGTTGTGTCTCTGAACGACTGGAAAATAGCAATCCAGTGGATGAAAGCAACTACCGTACTTATAGTGCATATTTATTTATTTAGCTTAACAGAACTATAGATTCTTGCGACAAAATTTGATGTTGTAAAAAGCACAGGATTTTACTTAATGATTGAATTAAATTAAAATTAAATATTTTCCTTATTATAAATTTGTACTCTTGCCTGTACCAGAATGTCATCAAAATTACGAATACTGATATAATATTGAAATTAATCCTTCAATTAAAAATAAAACCCAAATAATGTGATTTTGAAAACTGAAGGCAAAGCATTAAAAACTCAAAGATGAATAAAAAAGAATATAAAATTGGGGACTGGGATAACTTTTCTTCAGAAAACATTAAGCACATAAAGACAAATCCTTTTGCTTGATTGCAGTCATTTCTTATCTCATTGAATTTTATACAATTCTTACGTGACAGTTTGTAACACTGCCATAGTCTTTTTATATATTTTAGTGTATTTAGTGCACTGTGACTCATCATTTGATGTTATGGAGTCCAAATATTTTGAAAAAAATAGAGACTTCATGATCCATCATTTCTGATATCTGTGAAAATAACATTAAGGGGAACTCTTATGTAGACAATCAGGCCAATTCTACTTATGAAAAATCAATTACATAGAATAATAATTTCTGATGAAACATTTTCAGGATTCTTCTACTTTTGGTGGCTTAACTACAAATATTTAATTTGGGAATCACCCTGTTCAGAATGATCAGGCTAAATCATTACGAAGAAGTTTCAGTACATTTCTCATGTAATTGTGTTGAAATGAATAGAGATGTCTGGCTGGGACTAAAGTGGTATTGATGCATTATATTTTAATTCTTTCTCATTGTGCTCATTATGCAAAAAGCTATGACTTTTTTGTTTACATTACTTTCTTTTGATTTTACCAAAAATGATACAAAAACAGGAAATGTAATTCATTCACTAGATAGCTTTTGTAATAAATAATAAGAGGATGTACAGAAGAAATAGCTCTATGTTTATACGTTCATGTTGCATTATTAAGCAAAACTCAGTGGGTTGTAATTTTCAAAGACAGATATACAAATCACCATTTTTGGTACAAATACTTGGAAGCAACTTGTTGAAGCCTTTCAGAACTATTCAGACCTTCTAGTTTAAATGAAAACTAATAAACATTTTCTCTGATTACAAAGTTTCATATTTGGAAAGGATACATTTCTGTCACCTTATAAATGACACACTTGAATAATAGGTAAAAAGTGTGAAACATACCAGTCATGGTAAATCCACCAACTAGCAAGCCAATATCTCTTCCACCAACTATAATAGCTTCACTACGATCTCCATCACTCCCACTGTTTTTTGTCTTCCAAGCAGCCCATATTCCAACAAACAGGATGACCAAATAGAACAAAATGATAGCTATCAACCCTTCCACGTGAAAAGTCATTTTGAAGTCACAACAGGTTTCTGGATTGCTATTTCATAATATGGGAACTATAAAAAAATAATCACATATTATGTACTTGCCGAACCTTAATTGTACATACATAGTAAATCACACCTTATAATATCTGAATTCAATCGACAATTCTTTATGGTATTATTTTTTATTTTAAACATAATCTTATCAATGTTCCAAACAATCAGTGTCATACTAATATATTATTAACTATTAATATATTATTTCCAAGTTTTAAAGATTAAAATGATGATTTTGTTCTGATTTAAGCAAAAGAAACTGATTAGAAATCTTTAAAAAGTGTGTAAAACCAACTTTAATCTTTTACAATGAGAAACCTTTCTTTACTGTCCTTTTGGTAAAATTATTTTTTTATTAAACACATTATGCCAATTGAAAAACTATAAAAAGTAAAGAACAAAATGTGAAAAGTAATATTTTCTATTTTTAAACCAGTAATCTTTGTTGACAAAAATGATATTTCTATCCCCACACAACTGTTTCAAGTTTGCTATTATCATAATAAAGTCAGCTTCAGCACAAGAACACTTAAAAAATAAATACAATCCAGCGCAATCAAGAACCCCAAAAAATAAACGATAGAAGTGTAGAACTACTGTGAATATATGATGTACTTTTTAATTCATTTTTTGCTATTCATTTAAATTTTCAATTAGTTTAAGCCATACTGTTTTATCAGAGCAGGAAAAATGTATTTTTCAATCAAAACAACAGTGTGTATGAGGCTTCTATGTATCATAAATATTTATATTTCCATAATAATGAAAAGAAACCCCAAACAACTACTACAGGACTGGGATTCAGCTGTAGAACAGGAATTTCTCTTCCCAGTCAATCTTTACTGACAATTCTCTTAGAAATTCAGTTTTTTGAAGTTCAGGCATAAAAGGTGACTGAGAATGCTATTTGAGTTTACACAGTCAATTCTTAACTCCCAGAGTAGCTTCAATAACAAGTTAGATTAATTTTATTATCCCTCATCCTCCATGAAAACATAATTATTCTTCCTATGACTATTAAACAAAAGCTCTCACCTCCCCCCAGGCCCTGTTGCCTTTATTTCACTTATCTTCATTTCTGCCCCAATTCACCTCTTTCCTTTTTCCAGCAGGTTTTCCCTTCTTCTTCCTTCCACTGGATCGTCTTTACTCTCTCTCTCAAGCGGCTCAATCTCAGCACCTTGTGTTCACCCACAGAGGCAGAGTGTGAGAAACAGCGTTCCCTTTCTTTAAAGGGACAGGCGCATTTACAAAGCACTTTTGACTTAAAAGACCCCTGTGCAGGTTAGTTTAGGCTCACATAGGGTCTGGTACAGCAGTGAAAGGAAGCCGGATCGCTGGCTTTTCTCTGGGGTCTTAAGAACTGTTGCCTTCCTTGTCATTTTACCAGATTCTCAGCTGCTCTTTGAGACTTCGACTATCACTATCCAGGGAGGCAGCCAGCCAGCTAACAAGCCATCCATCCAGACATCACCACTGGGAAAGTGATCTTGGGCTCCTTTTTTCAGGAAGAAGAATTGCCTTGGGGAGGTAATCTGTAAATCAGAAGTACTTTGGTTTGAATGCCTTATTTTCCTCTAGTCCACTGTGGAAAAAACTTCCTCCTCCTCTGCCTTCTTCTTCCCTTCTCCTGTCATTGTGCTGATTCTCATATTGGGGCCTTCGGTCATTACTGGTTTCAAACAGGAGATTCCATTATAAAAGTATTGGATGAGATGACTATGCCCGTCAGAAGTGGGAGAAGTACGTCACAGGGGAAAGAAAGGTCTGTGGGGGTAAAGATGACTCAACAGATGGTCATCAATTATGGGGGAAAGATTGGGGGTGGGGGAGAAGCAAAGAAGTGACAGGGAGAATTAAATGTAGAGACAAAACACTGAGCAGCTTCTTGTCAGTTAGTAATGGAGATCAAGATTCTAAGCGAAATGCAGCATTAGTTCCATTTGGAATATTGTGCTTTAACATTCAAGATTAATTAACTGTAACTCATAATGGTTTTGTAGAATTTGCTTATAGAATATTCTAAATTGTCTGGATAACTGAGTCCTCTTGATTTCTCAACAAATTCATGCCGAACTGCTTTTCTGCCATTCTCCTTATGTCAAATTCTTCTACCAAGATAACTTATTTGAGACATACCATGTTTACTCACCAAGCTATTTCTTTTCTATTAACTCTGATATACTGATAAACAGATCTTTAGAATAATGGTTGGGGAAAAGATGGATAGGATTTAATTGCATGGTAGTATTCATTGGATGGTGGCTTGTAAATAGACATATGGAGACAGTTGAATGAAATTTTGCCCTTGGTCTTCTAAAAAGGAAGTCAGACACATTGCTCTGGATAAATTAGATCTGAATATTTTATGATAAAAGAGGCAGTGAAAAGGCTTGTTTGCTCTAAAAATTAGCTTGAGCAAGTAATATAATATATTCAAATCTTTCAGTCTTTATTGCTATTTTTCTCATAATCTTTGTTGACTTCCCTCAACGTTTTTCCAAATCTTTAGTGCCTGATATGGGATATGGTACTCCAAACAGAACAGAGGTGTGTGGTTTTACTTGCTATATGACCTGCAGATAACAATTTTATTTAATAAGTAACAACTAAATAATTTTTGTGGAAATTCTATTTATTATGAAGATCCCAATTCTAGTCTGCAATCACAATTATGTTTTATCCAGAGAATTTAATCATAACTGGTTAAATAATCTTAATCATAAGAATTGCATTAAGCTTTTAGCCACTACAGCCCAGTGGCACACCTTAGAGCTTTTGCACAGGTTAATTTAAATAGGCATAGGACTGGCTTTACAGATCTGAAGTGATAAGCATGTTAAAGGCTATTGCAAAAATACTCATATGATAATTACAGTTGCTATTTATATTTTGGAGCTCTTTTACTTTTGCATTTTATCCAAAACAGAAACATTTACTGTATTCTAGCTTAGAAAACTTGGATGGCTTCATAAATAAATCTTGCAGTGCTTGAATAAATGTCATTTGTTCCTTATCTTTAACATTCTCGTGATTTTAAATGAACTGTTGCAAGTTAAATATTTGGCATATGTGGCATAATATAAGTCTTTGGTCTGTCTGTCTGTCTGTCTGTCTGTCTGTCTGTCTGTCTGTCTGTCTGTCTGTCTGTCTGTCTGTCTATCTATCTATCTATCTATCTATCTATCTATCTATCTATCTATCTATCTATCATAATAATCTTCATTCTTCATAGCTCAGGTTGTTGGCTGTCTGTACACCATTCAGGAGATGTAGGTCAACATTATTATACCCATATTGCTATTTTTTTAAATACTGATGCAACATCGCATATGGTGTATGTTATAAAATGGCAGATGGCAAAAATTTTGTCCAGGTGTTTTAATTGCTTATTTAAATTTCTGTTTAAATGAAGTGCTATAGTGTGATTTCATATGAAATATAAAGTCATTATCTAAATGATAAAAACAAAGCAGCTCTCATCTGCTCTTTTTGAGTTTATGGCCAAAAACATCATCAGTGTGATAAATAGATGTTCTGGGACCTGGAGGAGTGCAACTGTAGCAACACTTTTTTTCCTTAAGAGTAATTCGCAATTGCTGATTTGCTTATGATATATTTGCATATCTGCATTCCCCTGTTCCCAATTCTAGATAGGCAGAGATTTTGTAAGCAATGATTGAATAAAGTCTGTGGTGATTCCAATTATAGTAAATATCCTAGGAATTGCAATTCTAGTCTGCAATGACCATTTTCTTTTTATCTTGAAAATGTAATTATAACATTAAAAAAGTACCCAAAGAAGAAAATATTTGTAGCAGAATTTAAATTTGGTTAGATGATAAAATACCAGGAAAAGTCTTTTTTAAAGACTTGACTAGATAAACTAAGACCATTGGCTACTTTTATATTTGTTTATTTATTCTACAGGAAATATTTTTTTGTAATCATGTGTGGAAAAGTTAAGATTCAACAACAAATACTGCATCCCACATTGGTATAAGTGAGTCAATTTTAAGCTTCAAATCCCTCTGATGGGAGGATTTAGGAAGGATCATGAAAGAAAGTTCCACGTCCATTTGCACTATTCAGGTGTCCTTGAGGGCACAGATGGCCTCAATGACTCTCAGAAAGAATGCTAATGAGCAGAAGACTGCAAGGAATATAAATCCTTCCATCCTCCACCATTGAGTCAGAACTGAAGAAGCTTCTTGAATGAGAAGTGAAACATCTTCAAGGAAAAACAAAGTCCAGTTGCCTTTTGAAAAAGCACCTTTGGGACAACTATGACCTGGATGACTGAGAATCTCCATAGACAAACCTGTATGTTCAAAATAGGTTTATATGATGAATGAGTATGAGAATCTGCGCTGTAATTCAGCTTTCTCTCCCTTGGTAAATGAAACATCCATCACTCATACTCCATGTAGAATTTTTGTCCTTATTCATACAGACTTTAGGATGTATACAGAAGTAGTCTTGTGCACCATCTCTTTATAGATAGACATGCCTAAAAAAAGTGAAGAATTAATTCTACAGCTGCTAGATCTAATATTAAATTCTGTAGCTATGAATCTGTGGTTTAAAGTTTTGTTTTCAAACATCATAAAACAAATTAGATTAAAATCTGTCTTTCTTCTCCATGTAAACTTTTCACAAAAAAACCTTTTTAAAAATGGTTCAGAAATAATAAAGTATACACCTGAGCTCAGCAAGCTAGCAATCATCATAGCTGTTATAGTTAATAAAAAAAAGTACCAAATACCTTTTACAACTGGAATAAAATACCTACAAGAACTGATATGCCTTCAATTAAAACTAAGAAAACTCATCAAAGTAAAAATCTATTAAGATTTATTACTGTATTCCATTTACATAACTTCTTTATTCTATTTATTGAGAATATTTTCATATGATATGGTGATATCTTTTTATTTAGAATGTTCTAGAGTTGGGAAAAATTCTGTGTAAGAAAATGCTACAATAAAATTTGCCTTCTTTTTTTAGTTCAGAATAAAAAAAATATATGAAAAGATGAAATAAAATAGTCCAAATCATATATAGCATCAAGAAAACAATCGCACTCTACATCTTTAGAACTGAACATGTAATGAAGCTGAATGATTGAGGATTTAAACTAAAAGAAGGAAATACTTTCATGCAAGTATAATTAAATTCAGGAATTCACTATCAAAGGACGAAGTGATGAATATAATCTTGGATGCTTTTAAAGGAGGTTAGATCATATCACAAAGAACGATCATGTTATGATAAGTATGTATTACCTTCAGGAAAAGAGATACATGCATTTTTGGGAACATAGTAGGAAAATCCTATTGTTTGCTGCCAACATCTGGTTGACTATTGAGGAAATGAATAATTGAACTGGTAAACTTTCATTTAAACCAGCATAGCTTTTCTTCTGTTTTTTAATAGCCTCAACCAAAGTCTAGCAAGACAGCTCTAATTTGTGGGATTTTATTTTATTTTATTTATTTTTTTGTTTATAAGACACCCAACTCAAGCATATTATGGGCAACGTAGGACCAGAATAGTCATTTAGCATATCATGTCCATCATCATCTTCTTCATCATATCATTAAAAATAATCCAATATCTAACATGACAAGTTGAACAAAATGTTGAGCTTCCCAGGAGAAGTTGCTTCAACTTGGTCTCACTAGTACTATTACACTTTTTTTTTTTTTTTAATTTGATTTATATGCCGCCCTTCTCCGGAGACTCAGGGCGGCTTACAGTGCGTTAAGCAATAGCCTTCATACTTTTGTATATTTATACAAAGTCAGCTTATTGCCCCCACAAACTGGGTCCTCATTTAACCTACCTTAGAAAGGATGGAAGGCTGAGTCAACCTTGAGCCTTGGAGAGATTCGAACCAGCAGTAAATTGCAGGCAGCTGTGTTAATAACAGGGTGCTTTAAACCACTGTAGTACCAAGGCTTGGTACCAATGAAGTACCAATGAAGTACCAAGACTTCATTTAACCTTCCACATGGTGAGATGGTAGGCAAAATTATTTTACACTTACTGTATCGGTAAATTTTTTTTTTCATTGATTTTATTTAAATAGCCAACTCCCTTCTTGGAAGAGCAACATGAAAACGTTCTATCTGGCATCTCTGACTGATTTGCACAGCATTTCACTGATAAAGTTATTCAGATTCCTTGAGCCTTGGCACCAAATAGGAAGAATCCTTAATGGTGATTTAGGTACCATCTTATAATATTACACAGGTTCTTTCCATCTGTAATTGTTAATAGGTATGTCCATAACCACCTGCATCTGGAGGATCGTCAATGCCTCTTTGTAGGAAGGGCAGTTTCTGGCAGCCTTGATGGAAGCTGTGGTGCAGTTCTGTTGGAATATAGGATTTTGGACAAGTACTTTCTTGACTCCAACTTTCCTTTTTTAGGGAAAATTGTTGAGACAGTAAGAGTGGATTAGTATTGCACTCAGAAACAGGATTGATCTATTTGTTTGATGACCTTTGTTGGGACGTAGATAGGAGTAATTTACTCCACCTTAAATGATTTGGACCTTTGGGTTGCCTTAGCAGTCTTACTGGACTACATACAACAGGGCTGTCAAACTCGCGACCCACGGGCCAGATACGTCATGTGCTGGCCACACCCACACCCTGTTTAGTGAAGGGAAAAAGATTCAGATAGTGACATGACACCGCCGTGACGATGTGAGTTTGATATCCCTGGTTTACAGGGACTGGGAATTACAGATTATATGTCAGTCATGATGACTGATTGAAGAGTGTCTTGGAGATTGTCTCCTCTTTGTTAAATAAGGACCATAGTAACAGATTTTATAATAC